CTCACTCCTTGCTGTGTTTATAAAGGAGGTTGTAGGACTGCGGGTGCTGTCTACCAACCAGTGTCCGAATGCGGGCTCCCTTGAGAGGTGCCTAGCAGGCAGCTCTTCCCCAGTGCCCAAGTCCTGCCCTGCTGAGCTCCTTTCCAGGTTACTCGTTCCTCAATGAATGAAAAGCAACCCTGTGAGACAGAGAAACTAGACCTTGGACAGGTCACCTCTCCCTAGCCAAATATTTAGCAAATGGTTTCTCTGATCTGAAATTTAGGAAGCTGCCTCTGAGCTTTATTGAGGTGTTCTTGCATGTAGGTAGGTATAAGTGCAGGGAAAGGAAGCCCTAGAAACAAGGCTGTAGCTAACCACAGAGACCGTGGCTCATGCCAGGCTTTTTGGTCTCAACTTCTCTGCACTCTGAATTAACTAAGGGTGCCCCCCTCCCCCCCCGGTCCCATCTAAGAATCTTTATATTACATCAGATTCTGTTTAATGCATATTTGTCATGTTAAAATAAAAAACTAGCCATTTTAAAACAGCACAAAACCCATTATATGTTAAAACTTACTAACAGCTTAATGAAAAATTAGCTATATTCTAAACTTAAAAAGTTTTGGTGAGTGGAGCTGCATTTACATCTTCGCAAAAAATTTTTTTTTATGTCTGGCCTAGTAGAAGATAGCTACATTCCTTTTATTCACAACAGCAAGCTAAATTCCCATGGGCAGACCATTGGATCAGACATTGTAGTGTATATATATTAAATGGAGTACTACTCAGCCGTTTAAAAGGCTGAAAGGGACTTTTGAGACAATGTTGATGAATCTGAAGGTAATTATACGAAGTGAAAGACAGTTACTGAGTGCTTTTCTCTTATTTGTGTACTGTAAGTAGCTAGTGATAATAAGCTAGCCAAACACAATAAAAATAACACTGACCCTATGAACTGCGCTGGGAGTAGGGAGAGGAAGGGCGTAGAGGTGGCAAATGATGGTGTCTTACGCTGAAAGGGCCAGTGAGGCACATGCCATTGTTGAGGTGTGACCCTATTCCCAAACTTATATGTTTTTGTAATTAAAACTGTGATGGGGGAGGACAAAAAAAAGATAGCTCCACCTTGTGTGTGTTTCTGCATTCACTCTCTGGCACTATGTAGGTTGGTGTGATGTCTTTGAAGAAAATCAGCCTTAAACAATCATGTAGCTGGAAAAGGAAAGGGCCTGTGGTGGTTTTAACTCCTGGATACCACAGCCAGACTCAACAAATGGTGGTTTCTAAAGGTCACTTGTTAAGCAATCTGGACTCGCAGCGGTGAACTTTTCACATTGCTGTCACAGTCCATCGGTTTGTCTTCCACTTCTAGATTTCTTACCCATGCACAAGTTGGTGATGTCTTGTTTTGCTCATTTGAAAACAGTGATTCTCCGAGTGAAGCACACCTCTCCATTTGTCTGCACCTGTCATCATGGAGACGTAAGAATACCGTCTTCACAGACCTCACCATAAAACTTGCAAGTGTTGCTTGGCTGCCAGACTCACGGTGGCAGACACATTCTCCTAATTTCCATTTTTGCCTGCAATTGTGAATTCTCACTGGCAGCAAAACCTACTTGCTTTTGCTGTTTTTTCCTTGATAAATTTACTTTATTCATTTTTGAGAAAATGGCTGCAAAAATGATAGTTCTTTTTTTTTTCCAATAAAAATAGCGTTCCAGAAAATGAGCAGCTAACTTGCAACACAAGTGCTTCTCCCTGGAAGAGTCACCCTGCCTTGGCCTGCAGAATGTGTGTCGCCCCACTTGGTCACACAAAGTATGTGTACTCAAGGGTTGAGATTCGATACTGTTAACCATTTGTTCTGCATTATTGCGTTCTCACTGAGACGGAGCCTGACTTCCTTTTACACTATGGTGACCCGGTCATGAAGTAACTAATAAAACTTGCTCCGATTTGTGTTCTGCCACCAGCAGTTTTACTCACCTGTTCTTGCTGCTGTTTTTCAAAAAGTAAATTTTACTGAGATGTAATTCACCAATCATAAAATGTACCCATTAAATGACACAGTTCGGGTGTATGCACGGTATTCAGAATTGCACAGCCATGGCCAGAGCCAACCTCTAGCTTCTCTCATTTCCCTCCTGAAAAACCTGTCAGCAGTCACCTCATAGTCGCCAAGCCTCCCCAGCTTGTACAAGCGTGAGTCTATTTTCAGTCTTATTGGTTAGTCTGGTTTGGTCATTTCCTGTGAATGAATGGCGTTGTGTGACCTTTGTCATTAACTTCTCAATGCTTTCAGGGTTCTGCCAAACTCAGTGACCTTAACAGTGCTTGAGTCCTATCAGTAAGAAGCAGTACAGCCCTTCTTACTAATCCCAGTACCAGTTGCAAGATCTTAATTTTCCCTTCAGTAATTATGAATAATTCTGCTTCGAACATCTGTACTCAAACTTTTATAGAAGCGTTTTCCTCATTTCTGTAGTTGTACATTCTAGAAGAGGGACTGCGGGGGGTGGGGGGCGGGGAGATGGTAACTCTTTTTCACCTTTGAAAAACCCTTTGGTCTGTTTCCACAGGTACCACAGGTTTTACATCTTGTATGCGCTGTGTGCGGGTCACAGTTTCTCCTCGTCCTTTGGGAACTCTGAGGGCTAGCCATTCTGGGACATGTGAAATAGGGAATCTCGGCGACGTCTGAGGAGTGTTCACTGCCAGCACTCTTCCCTTGTGCCGTCACAACAACACAGTGTAAAAGGCAAAGTTTATAGTGAGAGAGTTTTATCTTGAGGGACCCCTGAAAGGATCTCTTGGTCCCCCGAGAGTCATTAAGCTAGTAGAAAGTGCAAGGTGTTTTCTACACGACCTTCTTGTTGAGGCCAGATGTTGGCATGAAATGGATATTGGGAGGCAACCAGGTCACGTGGGATTTTGTGATGCTTCCCCCGTCCTTTGGCTGTATTTTGAAGCTTTTCTCCTCCTATATCTAGGGGGCAGGGGAGCTTGCCACATTCTGACTACATAGTAGGCTGAGACGGTCCTTTGTGCAGTAGTAAAGTTTCCCAAATCTCCATAAGAACATGTGCTACTCCCACACACAGATGAGAAAACTAAACCTAAGGATTAAACAACCGACCTAGTTGCAAAATAGTTTCCTTAAACTGGGCAAACCCACAGAGACAAATTCTTAAATGATCTTAAAAAGTAAAACTATTAAACGGGGTCCTCTGGTGTGATTCCATACAGATGCTGCTTTTAATTTGTCTTGAAAGCCGACACAGATACTGCCAACTTGGCAATTGATTGATGGTTTCTGACACTTAGAATAAATGCCAGCCACTTGAAGCCCTCCATTTTATTTTCCCTGTAACAGAGTATCCAGTGGAACCTTCCACAACACAGGATCGTATGCCATGTTTTTGTTTTGCATGGTTTTCAGTATTGAAAATCTACTTAGAATAGGGAATCACCACATGGAGAGGGACTTTGAAGAGCAGGATTCCCATCTAATCTGGATATGGAAATGTCATCATGTCATCTCTGTGCTACACCTTAGGCAGGTGGTCTGAAGAATTACATCTTCACAATTGAGTCAAAATACAGAAGATAATTCTATCATTTGAAAATGTGAGCTGGCTGGCTAACCAAGCATAAAAAAACAAAGAAAGAAACCTATAAAAAAAAATGGGTTAGTAGATCTATATGGGAATGCAGACAACAAAGTAGAAGAAAAATCTTTTTCTATCTATTTGGCCTAAGTGCCAGCTCACAGCACACTTACAGACCCAGTAATGGAGGAAATGTTGAGGCCTCTGTAGGTACAAGTCAGGGTTGCAGGCCTCGGGAGAGGCTGGTGAGGGGTGAGCCCCCTGAGGGTGACATTTGACACCACCCTCATATCAGCAGGAAGAATTTTCCCTTGTAGTTTTTGGTTGAGTAGTGAATTTGCCTGGAATTGTACAATTTTGGGTGGGTGTGGTCTGCAACAGCTCAGGAGCCCATGGGTGGGTAGGCAGTGACCTTGGAAAACTCCAAGGGCCCATACAGGGGCTCATCCTGGCTTCTCCCTGCAATCGGCCTACAGCTCCTGTCTCCCCGGCCTGCCCTGGAGAAACAGGCTGCTGCTGGGTGGCCCTGGTGGGCAGGAGACCTGTGGGTGGCAGAGGAAGAGGTGGAGGGTGCGTGACTGCTCAACCCGCTAGCTGGGCTTGGGAAGTAGGGCCGGGAAGTCACCATGGCAGCGGCCACTCACTGAACCTCTCTTTAAATTCCCTGCATGGGTGTGACTTCGGGGGTATTTGGGAGATGGCAGTGAGAGGCACCTGGGGCAGGCTCTCCTTGACGCCCTCTTGGTCTGTGCAGCGGCCCAGGGCTGGGCTCTGGGAGGTGGGTGTCTCTGAGCCTCAGTGGGTGTCTCTGAGCCTCAGTGAGGTCCCCTGGCTCCTCCTGACCTGGGTGCCTTTGGCTCTTACTGCTGGGGTGATTTCTGGCACGTGCATGTGCACAGCGCCACTGCCTGCACCAGCTCCGGGGCAGATCTTCAGCCCAGAGCCTCACGCCTGGCTTTTAGATGAGGCTGTTTGTAGCCTTATTCTCGACACCTGCATGGCTGCAGACATGGTGCCCTGAGCTTGGAGTGTCACTCGCGTTGCTTTCCTCATTTTACCTTCTGTTGTTTCAAGTGTGGTGTTGATGTTCTGAGGGCTGCTGGTGTGGTTTTTTTGCAGGGATTTTAAAAGTCAATTTTCAGTCATTTCATACACATCAGGTAAACCATAGGATGTCTGATTTTGTAAAGTGTATGTGCGAGACATACAGACAGGCTCAGTACTCGGAATTATTCCTGAATGTGGTCTTGGCAGTGGTCGGTCTGAATGTGGGTTCTCCCAGAACCTGTCTACCCCTAGCAGAGTCCAGAATGCTGTCCTTGAATCTGTGTGTCTGGACAAAATGTAGGTTTCCTGGCAGCATGCTCAGTGTAGTGACGTCTTTGTTCCTTTCTCCTTCCTTTCTAGTTTTCAATGGTTCCAGCAGGTCAACACGGGAGAAAGAACCTGTTCAAAAACACAAAAGCAAAGAGGCCACTCCCGGGAAGGAGAAGCACAGTGACCAGCGGGCTGAGGGCCGGAGAGAGCAGGCTCCAGCGAACCACCCCCCAGCGACCCCCCCCACGGGCTCCTCTGCCAAGGGGCCCGCTGCTAACCATCACCACCCCCCTCTGCATCGGTCGGCTCAGGACTTACGGAAACAGGTAAAGCCCCAGCCCAGACCTGCGTGCGCCCACCCCCCTCCCCCCTTTCCAGTGCCACTGAGCTAACTAACTGAAGGGGAGTGTGAGCCATAGCTCAGGACATCTGTGTTCAGAGAACTTAAAAGTAGGAGCTGGGAGATGGGCAGGGAGGGCCTGGCCTCGCACCGGGGCGCCGGCTGGGCGGGTTGGCGGGCCGGGCTGCCGGGCGCGGCCACACCTGTCCCTGGAGGAGTGCCCCACTCTGTTGCCTCTCGGGTATCCATGGGCAGGGACCCTGCCTCTGTCATTGCTCTCTATTCCATGCGCCCTGGGCCCACGCAAATTAAGGGCCCCTGGAGCCCATTTTGGTGTGCAGAGCAGGAGACCTGTCCCTTTTCACATGACAGGTTAGCCCCTCTGGGCCAGGGCTTCTGGGTCGCAGAGCATTTGCTCAGTGGGGCCAGTCGAGCTGGGCGCCATCAGCTTCAGCAGGGTGACGCGGTGCGCCCCACTGTCCTGCTGTCCCCACTGCAGGGAAGCGGGTCAGACAGCACAGGTCCTGTTTTGGGGTCAGTGGCCGCATTGCTCAGCCATTGTTTGCTGCCACTGTATTCTTGTCCCTGGACAAGTGATTCCTCGGGACCTTGGGAGGGAGAAAGAGGGGAGGCATGCAGGTGGCATCTCACTGGCCCCTGTGCTTTCCCTTTTTATTCTATTTGACAGTCATCAAACCAAGGGGAGTGTGGGTTAGCTTTCTCTGCCTGGAATTTTAATGCAGTTCCCCTTTTCACTAGAGCAGATCAGAGACGGTAATGTTTAAAGAAAGATCAGGACAAGGTAGGATGGCTCAGAGTGATTTCTTGATTGGTACCTTACTAGAATAAGTGAGCCGACCATGGCTGTAAAAATATTGGACTCCACTCCGGCTGGGGAGGTGGCTCTGTCCCGTGGTCTCGCCCCTTCGTCCTCGACGATGTTCAGGCCGTTTCTCTCTGAATGTTGCTGGTGGAAGGGTGTTGGCCTTTAGCTCTTGGACATTGGCAGTTGGGGTGGGATGAGCGAGAGTAGAATCCTCATGCTTCTATAGTCCTCCCTTACCCACTTCTCCGTCACAGTGTTCCCTTGGGAAAGCAGGTGGTTTTAGCATGATCTGCACACTGCTGCTGCACCTAAAACACAGACCTCAGTTTTCCTGAGGAACAGGAGAGTGTGACTGTGGAGTGCGAGTCCAGACCTCATACTGAAGCGCACAGAGCATCACAGCCCCCAGTCTGGTTTCTGTGTCTGGCAAGCTTTCCACTCCAGGCCAAGGTGACAGTCAATGGCTTGACAGACACCTGTGCGGGGTGGAGGAGGGGTGCAGATGCTTTTTTTGTGAGAGAAAACAAGCACAAAGGGGCCCTTGAGGGTGGGGGCTGATCTGTGGAGCAGACACGAAGTTGTGGGGTCTCATAGTGAGGGGTGAGATAATGCTACCTTCACGCGGGATCATAAGCACACCTCCATGTGCCAGCCTGTCACTGGACGAGCTGGCTCGAGTCAAATCTGGCCTTCCTCAGTCTCCGCTCACATCCGGCTCTCAGCACTGCCCAGGATTTCCCTTGGCTCCTGGAGTGCACCCCTGCCCTCAGGGACATCCCTCCCTCCGCGCTCTGACCACCCACGGTATGATGGCCAGGGCGCCTGATCCGATCAGTACTTTGGCTCTGACCCCTCCCTTCACTGGGACGTAAGATGTGATCTTTAGCCTGCCCGGTCCCCGTTGTTCACTGCAGCCAGGCACTCCAAGTCCTCTCACAGGCATGTTGTGAGAAATGAAAGGACAATTTGGAAACCATCAAACTCCATTAGTTAAGTCCCTGGAAAATAAGGTCAATAAAAATGAATTGTAACTGCTTGATGCAAATGATTAGACCCTGACCTTTCATCTTTCAGCTGCATGAAAGCTAGGGGCTCAAGGGATACGGTGTCTGTAATTTCAAATATAACTTGTGTTTTTATGTCCGCTTAAAAGAAAAGGATGAACACGGTTCTGGCAGTGTGGTGCTCTATGAAGTGGCTTCCCCTGCTGGCTGTGGCACTCTCAGAGCCACGAGGGCCCCCCATCTCTTGGTTATACTGGCCTTTCCCGCGAGACCCTGCAGGACGCTCGCTCTGCCCCTGCCCAGCATGGCCTGGAGCTTTTGTGGTACCAGATGTGCCCTTCTGTCCAGATGTGCACTCAGGCCACTTGGGAGCTGGGGCAGTGGCTGGGTGAGCATTTGCAGGTGTGCTGAGTGTCTGACAAAGTGGTGAAGGAGGTTTGTCTTTTAATTTCCATAAACTCATACTTCAGTTTAAATGTAATAGAAGACAATTAGTGAATTTAGTTGGTAAAGCAAATCAGAGAGGATTTTGAAACATTAATTTTCCAAGAGTATTGGGAGGAGATTTTCACTCAGCTGTGTGTGGTTAGTCAGCCAGGATGCAGGTCGCTGGGCTAAGTCTTCACTTGGAGGCAAAGATGAACTTGGTGGCCTCCAGCAGAAATGCGGCAAAGATGAACTTGGTGGCCCCAGAGAGATGCTGAGCGGTGCTACTTCAGAGAATTGGGTTTTGTGAAAGGCCACAGGGTCGCTGAAAAGTCTTCGCCCTTAAAATGCAGTGAGGGAGTTTAAAATCTCATCAAATTAAAAAATGGGGAGATTCAGAGTCCTTGAAAGCGAATGGGGACATTTAGACCAAAATATGCCAAACTTGCCTTTGATAACTTGTCTTCTCTCTCCTCATTGGATTATGCTGGTAACTTTAGTGACACCGATTCATTGCGCAGTATTTCTGCTCATTAAGTTGCCTGTAGTTGGAACAGATTTCATAGAAAGATGGGGTGATTCCCTCCTATGACCAGGTTCCCCTTTCTGGGAGTGGGGCTAAATATCTCTCTTGTCCTGCCTGCTGCTGTGGTATGTTGAGGTACAGTCTTCATTAACTTCAGGCTGGACCCTTTCTCTGCCACATTGGTTGGCCTTCCCTGTCTATTCTTTTTCAATTCAAGTTTTCGTTCCACTGCCCTCAGCCATAAATGCATCTCTCAACCAGTTCTCACTTCTAACCAGTGGGCAGAGGCCCCTGACTCAAAGGCCCCCTCTAGTGGGAGATAGAAGCATGGCCATTGAATTTCTGGTCGCACTGAGGACACACTTCTGTGAGGACACACTGGTTGTCATAGATGGAGCCTCCTCTTGCTCATGTGTCTGGGAGCAAAATGAGTGACAGGGGACAGATGGGTGGTGGTGGGCAGTGAAGAACAAACTGCAGTCACCCTGCTTCCTGTGGAGCAAGGTGTGACTTGGAATGGGATGTAAGGTTAGAAATCTGATTCAGAGCCGAGAGAAGCGGCTCTTTGAAGAGAGGAAGTCATTTGGTTAGAGTGTTGTTACCATTTTGAAGCCAAATGCCACTTTTATGTTAATTCTTGAGTGGAATGGAATGACCTCTCTATGTGCTCAGTGAAAGCACTTTCTCATGACGAGCACAGAGACGCAGGCCCCTGTGTGGGGAGCTGATTCAGTGACCTGGGTGCCCTTCTCATTTGAATCTCTGAGGTGGCGGCACTTGAGGCGATGGTTGTGTGCGACACCCTGCATGGCAAGGTGAGACAGTGCCACTTTCTGTCCTGTGTGATCTCGAGTTACGTTAAGTGTTGGACCCGTGTGGCTAGGTCTGTCCAAGGGAACAGGCTGTTAACACAGGTCTGCCTGGGTGGGGGGGTGGTTCTGCTTTACCCCCACCTGCACCCCATGGGCATACAGCTGGAGGGACAGGCTGATTTCCTGCCTTCATTGGTCAGCTGCATTTGTGGCCTCTTGGAACACAAAACCGCAGGCACGCAGGAGGGCTATAGGTAGGGAGAGAGGATGGTCATTGAGTCATCCCTCCTCAATTTCTCATGGTTCTAACGGGCCACAGGGGGTCGTGTATGGCCTTCAGGCTTGTTCGACGGCCTGTATGTATGCAATTCGGAGGACACTTTTGAAGATGGCTGTTTCAACAGCAAGGAAGGAAATGAACAGAATAACTCATCTACTGGAGCAAGAGAGTTGGCTGCCTATTGGCAGTAAGCCAGCACTTAACTTTACAGAGTTGTGGAGACAAGATGATCCTTTTGCCATTGTAGGTGGCAGATTGTGTGTAACCCCACCACACAGAAAGCTGGCCTCTCCATAGCTTACTGAGCCAGGGAGGAGCCAGACTGCCCGCACCCAAGGGCCTGCTGTCTTCTTTGAGGTCGAATCCAAGCGCTGGGGGCGGGGCTCTGGCTTCCAGGTCTCAAAGCCTGGTGTCCAGTTGGGTAGGGCAGGACTGAAGTACTTGTGGGAACTTCCAGGGAGCTGTCACACACTGAATCCCTTCCCTCACCCATTAGATTATGTTCTGTGAGTTAGACTGCCGAGTCGGTGCTATTTTTATCTTCTCCCAGGTTTCTCAGAGGCCAGGGCTTGCATAACCTTGGCCAAAACCCCCACTACAAGTACCAGCCTCAGCCAAGCTGTGTTTGCTGGGAGGCATGCGCAGCCCGGCAGGGTGTTTACCAGTCTCCTGGGCCTCCTTACAAGAGCTTGAACCCTACGAGCAGCCTCAGGCGCCCCTAAGGGTGGGGACCCCCTGCCCTCTGCTGGGTTAGCTCACACCCTGTAAGGTACTTGGACACAAAGGTTCTCCTGTCTTAATGAAATCCATTCTCTTTCTCACAGCAGGGTTTTCTGTTTGCTTTTGTTTTTCTAAATGGTTGTTTTTGGTTTTCATCAATGGAACTTTTGAAAGAAGAACTAAGAATTGGGCACATTGGCACCACTCATACTCATTTATTTAATGTGTTTCTCCCTCTACCTCTGGTTTTATAAACTTGCTTTTCATTTGTTCTTACCAGGCTTCTGGGTTTTGTGTTTTGTTTGTTATGCTTTCCTCTCTCGTTATTTATTCTAGAACCCTCTTTTCTCTCCCTGACCCTGTCAGTCTGGTGGCTGTCAGCAGTAGAGGGTGTAGGGCCTGGCTCTGGGAGTCACTTAAGTGCAGAAGTCGAAGTAGCTCAGCAGCAAGCCTGGTTCCCTGAAAGCCCTGCTCAGGGAGCGAGCGTCTCCAGATCAGCGTGTACAGCTTTAGCAGGACTGTGTGTAATTGTGGCATATAAACTAATAGAACATACTAAAAGTGGTATGTTCTTTCCAGAACCGCTTCTGATTGGTTGGTTCAGGGATTCTCAACGTGTGTCCTCAGGTCAGCAGCCTCAGCGAGCCTGACATGCAGTTAGCAAGCAGTGCCACCCCTGACCCTTGCTCTGATCTGACAAGCTCTGCAAGGGGATTCTGAGAACCTCTGGGTTTGACTCCCTTTTTTTCTTAAGATTTATTTATGTATAGAACTGGGGTGTAGGCAGGAGGCATGGGGGTGAGAAGATTCACCAGAGACAGTGGGGAGCAGAAGAGGCGGTGGAATGATGGAGATAAACTGCCGAGGGGAGCAGCAGGCGAGACAGGAAGGGTATGCTGCGCCATGTGGGTCAGCTCCCTGGCCGGATCAGACTCGGGCTGTGGTGGTGGTAGTGCTGAGAATTCCATCTGAACGTTTGGGGTTTTTTTGTGTTTGTTTTTCTATCGTGGTAACTGCATACTCCAAGGTGAAGCCTGGGCTTATTGGAAAGAAAGACGCAGGTGCTGTTCCCCAAGAACCTGATCCCCCCAGTGGAGGCAGCCTGCGTGCAGCATGACTGAGTGGGCGGGAGTGGCTCCCGTAGGCGCTTCTCAGCCAGACAGGAGGGGGGAAGGAAGGTTCTCTGAGAAGCAGCTGCTCGGCGCAGGCGCCCTCCATCCTGTCACCTTCCTGTCACTGCAGCTGGTGAAAACAGAGGGCTGTTGTGTTCCTTGGGAGTTGTATGGTTTTTAGTCCGCCTCTTTTGGAATCCCAGGATTCCTTGCTTTTGAACTTACGTTGCAAATGTAAAGTTGGTGCTTGTGGTGTGAACGCCATGTGCAGGTCGTGCAGAAGGGGATTCGTGACTGTCTACCCTAAAACCCGCCAGGCATGAGCACTTCCCTTTGTGGCCCTCAGCACTCCATCTGGGAGTCACTGTGCTTCTGCTTCTCTGTGTCCTTCCTTTTTCTTTTTAGAAAGAGGCCCTTTTTTTTTTTTACATGCCACAGAATGTCCAGACCATTACACAGCGGGCGCAGAATCTGCTTCTCTTCACCTGGCTCCGGGGGGACAGCGGGGAAGCTGACTCTGAGGGTGGGAAACAGGAACCAGCTGTGCAGAAAAGAGTGGCCAGGCCTGCTCGTGGCCGGGGCTGGTATACCCCTACATCCCATGGCTGAGGGCTGCAGCTCAGAGGTGTGGACGAGGCCGATAAGCCCACGGTTGGCAGCCTCCCCTCTGACACGCACCACTCCATCCACATGAAGTGCTCTTGTTCTTTTCTTTCCATAGTATTTTTGTTTCATTCTTTTTTTTTTTAAATAGCATATATATATAAAAATTCTGTGGGCAGATCATGCTGTTATGTGGAGCACACAAAGAGTGGCATGCTCCTCTCTTCTTGGAACTGTGTGTGCGCGCGCACGTGTGTGTCTGTGTGTCTGTCTACATCCCTCGGCCCTGACGGCAGGTTCCTGAAAGTGCTGCAGACCGGTGACGGGTGATCGGCAGGCACAGGGAGAGGTCCTTACTGTGAAAGCGTCCTGTTTTGAAAAGAGCCCTGGGTGTTGGCACAGACCTTAAACACCAGGAACCCCCGGCAACCCCTGGGCCCGTGGTATGTTACTGTGTGGAAGGGGATCTGGTCAGCTGCCCCGAGATTGTGAATCTGGATGCCTGGCAGCAGATTCTTGGCTCGGGTTTGCTTGGGGTCGCTGGGACCCGCCTCCTGTGCAGCCAGCAGCTGGCTTGGCTGTGTAGTGGTGTGTGGGTAGGCGCACTGTTAATCTCGTGCACTGTTAATCTGTTTTCTTTCTCCTCTGCCTCCTCTGCCACCTCCCAGGTTTCTAAGGTAAATGGAGTCACTCGAATGTCATCTCTGGGTGCAAGTGCAACCAGTGCCAAAAAGATGCGCGAAGTCAGACCTTCACCGTCCAAAACTGTGAAGTACACTGCAACGGTGACTAAGGGGACTGTCACATACACCAAAGCCAAGAGAGAACTGGTCAAGGAAACCAAACCCAATCACCACAAGCCCAGTTCAGCTGTCAACCACACAATCTCAGGGAAAACTGAAAGTAGCAATGCAAAAACCCGCAAACAGGTGCTATCCCTCGGGGGGGCGTCCAGGTCCACCGGGCCCGCCGTCAATGGCCTCAAGGTCAGTGGCAGGTTGAACCCAAAGTCATGCACTAAGGAGGTGGGGGGGCGGCAGCTGAGGGAGGGGCTGCGGAATTCCAAGAGGAGACTGGAAGAGGCACACCCGGCAGAGAAGCCGCAGTCACCCCCTAAGAAGGTGAAGGGGGCGGCCGGCCCTGCCGAAGCCCCCGGCAGGAAGGCAGCGGCCCCGGCCCCGGCCCCGGCCCCGGCCCCGGCCCCGGCCCCGGCCCTGGCGGAGAAAACGCCACTGAATGGACACGTGAAGAAGGACATGCCCGAGCGGAGCTCAGAAAGGAGCCGGCCGAAGCGGGCCACGGCCGGGAAGAGCACGCCGGGCGGACAAGCACACGGCAAGGCGGACGGCGCCTCCTGTGGAAATCGTTCTACCTCGCAAGCGGAGCCCTCGCACAAGCCGCAGGACGCGGCGGCCAAGCCCGAGAAGGGGAGCGGCCGGGCCGGGTGGGCGGCCATGGACGAGATCCCTGTGCTCAGGCCGTCGGCCAAGGAGTTCCACGACCCACTGGTCTACATCGAGTCGGTGCGCGCGCAGGTGGAGAAGTGCGGCATGTGCAGGGTGATCCCCCCGCCAGACTGGCGGCCCGAGTGCAAGCTCAACGACGAGATGCGCTTCGTCACGCAGATCCAGCACGTCCACAAGCTGGGCCGGCGCTGGGGCCCCAACGTGCAGCGGCTGGCCTGCATCAAGAAGCACCTCAGATCTCAGGGCATCACCATGGACGAGCTCCCGCTCATAGGTAAGGCGGCCAGCCCGCCGGGCCCGGCCCTCCCGCCGCGCTGCCTGCGCACCTGGCGGCTTCCAGCAGTGTCTCCCAGTTCTTGACGCTGGAATTTCCGTGGGGTGGAAATTCCAAGGCCCCTCTCCTTGGCTTTACCCAGCTGCTTTCTCCAGTGCACTTAATCCTGGGGTCTCCTTACTCCGAGGACGCCAAAGTGGGTTAGGATCCACCCTGGTGACCTCATTTACCTTTACCCCTGTTTTCAAAACCTGTCTCCAGATGCAGTCCCACTCAGAGGTGGGAGTAGAATCTCAGTGTTCGGCATGATTCAGTCGTAAACACCCCTAAGACCAGCCCATTTCTTTCTGACTTTTTGCCTCCACCCTCACGCTGCTGGAAGCATCACCTTGCTGACCAGCCGGGCCCTTGTGAACGCGGAACATGCTTAATCCCTCTGAGGGCAGGCGACCTCTGGCTGGGGCGCTAGTAGCTCGCCCCAGTGATGCCTGGCAGAGGCCACGGTCCCTTCAGCACTCCAGTGGCTGCTCTCGCCTCTTCCTGTCACTCTCAGCCAGTGAGCTTGATGTGCTGTCAGGAGCGTGTGGGTTCTGTGGGGTGCGGGCTCCCTTTGGTAAGGTCACTCTGACAAGGCCTTTTCTGGCCTCCAATTTGGAGAGCTTGATTTTTCAAAGGCAGGGAGAAAAGGAGACGTTTTAACAGTTACTTAGGTGTCAAGAACCGCAACATGGCGGTCTCATTGTTCCTGCCAGCAGGTGCCTACCAAGGGTGATGCCTGAGTGAGAACACCTTCATTTGAAAGAAGTCCTAGTCGTGGACCTCTGTTGGGGATGGCACTTGATAGGCCTCAGGACCATGGGACAGGCTGGCAGGCAAAAGGAATTTGACACGGTCACTGCCCTCTGCCCTCTCCGGCCCCTGGGGGACTCGCCCCAGCACCAAGCCCTTCTGGCACATTCTGAGTCCCCTTGCTGATGGGGGATGGGCGTCCCTTGAGCTCTTCAGAGCAGTGTTTCTTTCATGCTGACTGCTTGGAGCTCCAGAAGCCAGAGAGCATGTCACTGTGTGTGGACTGTCGTGTATTTGCCAGCACCCGGGGTGGAAGCATTCCACCAGGTAATGGGCTGCCAAGTCTTTGGCCACAGATCTGAGTTCAGCTTCCTCAGAGGAGAAGGGACTTGTTTGTTTTGAGTCAGTTCCCTGAGTCACTAAGACAGATGCTGCTCTTGTATCTGTGGGCACATAGGAGGGGAGAGGCCCTGCTGGTCCTGTGAATGGGCTGGTGGTGGCAGGCCTGGAGGCTTTGAGAGAACAGGTTGGCAAGTCTGTAAACTTCTCAGTGCCCTTGGAGCATAATGACCCGCTTAGAGAAAAATATAGAAGCACGTACGCTAGTCAGCACTGTGGTCTGTACCTCAGTGCCACGGCTGGGGCCGCCTGCTTCCAGCCCGAGGGACCTTCTGAGTGAAAGCAACCTGAAGGGTCTCAGGTCGAGGCGCCCTTCCCTCACACAGGTCTTCCTCGCCGATGCTGCTCTGTTGTCCACAGCCAGCACCCCTTTGTCGAGAGGGGGCAGGCTGCCGCTTGCCCCTGTGCTGGCCTTAGGGAGGAAGACTGAGGGGCTTCCGCAGTCGGGGGAGGTTGTCCGGGCCCTCGTTTGCTTGTCCTGCGATGCTCAGTCTGCCTTGCCCTGCTTTCATGTCGCAGCTGTCCAGCAGGTACTGGGCTGCCTCTTTTTCTGATGTTGGAGGTAAATAGTCTCCAAAATCTCCTCTAAATCTTTGTTTCACTTGTTCACCTAGCCTCCTAGTGCACCTCATGTCCCCGAAGCCAGTGAGCAGTTGCTTCGTCAGGGCGCTCCATTTACTGGCCAGGGGGAGGTGGTTTTCCCATGGCAGACAAAGCCAGTCACCTTTGTGCTGGTGTGCGTTTGTGCGCCCTGACTTGACCGGGGGCTGTGGTGGGAATGACCAGCGCCTCCTGCCGGGGCAAGCAGCCTGTGTGCAAATGCACAGGGACGGTGGCGAGGACAGATGGGACAGCCTCAGCTGAGCGCTGCTCCGAAGCCGAGCAGTCAGGGGTGTGCGCGTGTGCGTCTGTCTGACTCACGGAAGGGAGCTGTCTTGATGCAGGGTGTGTATATCATGGCTTCTCCAGGTTGACACAGGTCATGGGTGCATCCCAGCCCTGCTTCAGGGAATCCTGGAATGTTCCTCCCCACAGACCTGTGGGCCAACTCTTTCCTCCCGGCTATCCCACCTGGCCTGGCAGCTCCAGCTACCCACCAAGGCACCTCTGTCTCCCTGTGCCTCCCTGCTCCCCGTCACAGGCCCATCTCCCCAGGGACCCAAGCTCCCTGAGGCCCAGAGGTGATCGTTTGCTGCTCTGCCCCCAGAGCCTGGCATGTCCCTGGCACATAGTGGGTGTCCGGCTCCCCGGTTAATTGCAGATCGTGTTTGCTGGCCTTTCCATTGACTGTCCTCTGTGTCTCCCCTCGCCGCCCCAGGAGGCTGTGAGCTCGACCTGGCCTGCTTTTTCCGGCTGATTAATGAGATGGGTGGCATGCAGCAAGTGACTGACCTCAAAAAATGGAACAAACTAGCAGACATGCTGCGTATCCCCAAAACTGCCCAGGACCGGCTGGCCAAGCTCCAGGAGGCCTACTGCCAGTACCTGCTCTCCTATGACTCCCTGTCCCCCGAGGAGCACCGGCGGCTGGAGAAGGAGGTGCTGATGGAGAAAGAGATCCTGGAGAAGCGGAAGGGACCCCTGGAGGGCCACACGGAGCATGACTACAACAAGTTCCACCCCCTGCCCCGCTTCGAGCCCAAGAACGGGCTCATCAACGGCATGGCCCACAGGAACGGCTTCCGCAGCAAGCTCAAAGAGGTGGGCCAGGCCCAGCTCAAGACGGGCCGGCGGCGACTCTTTGCTCAGGAAAAAGAGGTGGTGAAAGAGGAGGAGGAGGAGAAGGGCGTCCTCAGCGACTTCCACAAGTGTATATATAAGGTAGGGCCTCGCTGCAGAGGGGCAGGGCGCAGGCCAGTGGCCCTTTGGTGATCTCACAGCAGGGGGCTCTGGGAGCCTCCATGCGGCTTCCTGGGTGGTTGTGTACAGAGCAACAGCCGCAGTCTTTGGGAAGGCCAGGCTGGCCCTGCCTGCTCAGTGTGTGTGTGTGTGTCAGTGTGTGTGTGTGTGTGTGTGTGTGTGTGTACACCAGAGATACCCCAGCCCCACCTGCCCCACTCAGCACCCCATCTCCTGAGAGAACTCCCAGTCATGGCAGGAGCGTCTCTGACTCAAGTGACCAGACCCTTGTGGGCACGGGCAGTACCTTGCCTCACCCTCCTTATTGATACTGCCCACAGTTGTCCACTCCACTCAGCTCAACTTTGCCAGGATTGTCTCTGATACAACTGTCAGTGGGGTCTCACCATTAATACCTGCGAAGGTAGGCCGTGGGGAGAGAACTGCACACCTGCAGTATCTGCACAGTTCCGCCGGTTCCCCTGAGCGCCAGCCTGCAAAGACTCGCTCCTCCGTGGAGTGGGCACGGTCTAGGCCACTGTCCAGGCCACTGTCCACTTGACGGTGCCTGGTGAGCCCTGCCTGGTCCACAGCAAACCACAGCTTCCATGTGGCTGTTCTGAATCAAATCTGGGAGTTCCCCATGCCCCAGCCTGCGTGAACACGCTTTGTAGTTCTTTGCTCCTTTCTGGAAAGAGATGCCGCTTGCCTGGAACTCACTGCCCACGTAGGCCCAGGAGGCCCCAGCCTGCTGTCGCAGAGGTGGTGGGCTG